GTTTTTCTAGTTTGTTGTCTTCCTTTTTTGCCTTCTGTAATATTGTACTTGATTAATACTTCTGAAATTTCGTTTCTCATAGCCAAATATGCGTCGTTATTCTTAATTTCCCTGAATTCATCATTAAATCCAGTTGTTTACTGTTGGCGGTATTGAGAGATTCGCCAAATTGTAAAAAGCACAATGAAGAAAATACTTCGTTTGGACGAGAATATGATGTGAGGATGCGAAGTTCTACGAGACGAAATTTGGTGAGAACAAGCAATTCTAGAAGGAAACTGGGACGAGTTAACTTTCGCAAAGACTTCTGGGACTGTTACCAGGGACAAGGGAAAAAATGACCAAAAATGACCGCGCTAATGGGCACTTCCCCATATGAGTATTAATCCCAGAAAAAATTGCGGGAAATATTTCGGCCCTAATCGTTTCAAAAGTGGCGAATGGACTTGCTGTGCCCATTCAGAGAAACCGTCGCAAGTCTACATTTGAGACAAATCTCAAAGAGAGACGAAGGAAGACGAAAACAGTCCATAATGTTAGACTCCAGTCCATTTATAAAAAACTCACCTGCTTGAAAGACTAAACAGCCTCACTGACCTAACGTCACCTCATTAACTACTACTGAAACAAGTGTTGAACGTTTTAAAACTGAAGTACTGCGTCAAAATGCTTAAAATTTTATATAAAAAAAATAGAATTAAACAAAATCTATCTGTATTTTATTATATTTCAAAACTTCGCTGGACAGTTAAACTTAGAGGAAAAACTCACCGTTTTAATGTTTTAGAATAAATTAAAGTTCTATTTTCTATTCCGAGCATTTGCAATTAAACAAACGGTTCTTCTCAGCAGGAACCAGCTCACTTTTTAATTATGAACAGAGAGGTAATTGGAACTTTATGGAAAGGATATATACATTGCAGTGTTTAATTGTCCTGTTTTCAATACTAGTGTTGCAAAACCTTCCCCTTGCATTGTTTTCTGGGTTGGCCTTGTTTTATACAATTTGATTCGGTGTTTCAACCGTTAAAAATCTATAACAACAATGACACTGAATTTCTGTTTGCACTCTACCTATAACATTAAGTCTAAGGCTTTAGTTAATGGATCGGCTTTATTATGCGCTACAGCAGATGGCCGATGTGGAAAGTAGCTAATAAAAGGAAGGGGTAATTAATGTAGATATCAGTTTTAACCACGACAAAAACATGCATGTTGTGACAAGTAAAACTATGGCTGAGGAGACCTGTACTCCATTTCTGGATTATTGGATTAAACTGGTTTCCTACAGGAGAAGTTTCTTTCCTGGTTTCTGTGTTATAAACTTTGTATTTTCCCTCGTGGCGACTCTAGGAAATCTTTTGGCCATCCGTGCCTTAATGAAGACCTCAACGATACCAGCCACCGTCAAGAAGATGTTCCTAAGTCTGGCTTTCTCTGATCTTGCAGTTGGATTGTTACCGCAGCTAATTACCGCTATTATCAGCGCCGTGATGTTGAAGATGGCATCAAGTGGAGACTAGTTGGCCTTCTTTTGTCCAGCAGTTTTGATTGTGCGTTCATATTTTATGTATCTTCTCACCACTGCATCTTTCCTGAATGTTACTGTCATTGCATTTGATAGACTTCTCGCTGTTTCGCTCCACCTGCGATATCAGGAGCTTGTCACGCCCAGACGTGTTACAGTAGTGTTGGTGTCTTTATGGTTAACAAGCTGCGTCTTTCCCTTCCTGTTTATTTTCCTTCCGAAAGGCATTGAAATGACAGCTGGCGTTATTTCCGTTATAGGATATGTTCTGACAACCGTGGCGTACATTCGTCTTTACAAAGTTGTCACATATCATCAGAATCAGATATACGGTCAAAATCAGCTTCAAAATGCCCAGACAAGAGAGGCACACCGACAAAGGAGTCCGCTTACAATAGTTTATTTGTCTCTGTAGTTTTCTTAGCTTCTTATTTTCCCTTTTTGCCTTGCACAATATTGTATTTGACTAACACTTCTGAAATTTCATTTCTCGTAGCTCATTTTGCGTCTATGTTCTTGATTTACCTGAATTCATCATTAAATCCTTTTATTTATTGTTGGCGGTACACAGAGAGTCGACAAATTGTAAAAAGCACAGTAAAACAAATATTTCACATGAACGAGAACATGTCATAAGGAAGGAATTAAAGCTCTGGGTAGTTTGAACTGACAGTCTTTCAGTGTTTTTGCGAAGTCTGGAAAACGAAATTTAGTGAGAAAACTAATGGACTTGCCTTAGTCCAAAAGAAAATGAAAATTGTAAAACGAAAAAGAATAGTCCATTACAAAACTGGCTTCCTATTGGCGCAAGCATCGATTTTAAAATATTACTTTTAACATTTAAAAATTTAAACGATTTAGCTCCTTACTATTTATCTTCACTCCTTCTCAAATACTAGCCGGCTCGTTTACTCCGCTTATCTAATAGATTGCTTTTACAAGTTCCTTCNTTTACAAAGTTGTCACATATCATCAGAATCAGATATACGGTCAAAATCAGCTTCAAAATGCCCAGACAAGAGAGGCACACCGACAAAGGAGTCCGCTTACAATAGTTTATTTGTCTCTGTAGTTTTCTTAGCTTCTTATTTTCCCTTTTTGCCTTGCACAATATTGTATTTGACTAACACTTCTGAAATTTCATTTCTCGTAGCTCATTTTGCGTCTATGTTCTTGATTTACCTGAATTCATCATTAAATCCTTTTATTTATTGTTGGCGGTACACAGAGAGTCGACAAATTGTAAAAAGCACAGTAAAACAAATATTTCACATGAACGAGAACATGTCATAAGGAAGGAATTAAAGCTCTGGGTAGTTTGAACTGACAGTCTTTCAGTGTTTTTGCGAAGTCTGGAAAACGAAATTTAGTGAGAAAACTAATGGACTTGCCTTAGTCCAAAAGAAAATGAAAATTGTAAAACGAAAAA